CTGCTGGTATATTTAAAACATTTTTCACAAATTGAGAGGCGAGGCTAGTTTAGAGTACCACTTTTACAGATTGCTCACTGACATCTTGCCAGCATCAACCAATCTACAGGAAATAGTTAATTACAATCATGGCATCTAAGGTTTTGGAGTAGATCTCAAACAACCAACCTCAATCATGGCAACACATTGAACCCAATAAAAGCAGCATCTGGCAGGTGTATCAAATCAGTTTTGCTTTTTGTGAAGGCATACATACATAAGGCTGCTTTTCAAATGTGCCATCTAAAAGGTTTGAGCATTGGACAAAGGTCTTGAGAATCTAAGACTAAGCTTGAAAGTTTCCCATTCGAATTTCATAAATAAATATGCCCAATTTACAGGCTTTGTGAAATTATAGAAAACTCTCAAAATTGTATGATAGAAGAAAATAGAGAAAAGGTAAAGTACAAGGTAATAACCAGGCAAAAATAATCACTTTTGCTTTTAGAGTTATAGGCAAGGAGCTGCTAGCCCAAGCAAATTGTCATCCTAAAAAGTGCTGCATTGTCAGCACAGGAGTTAATAATTATATGGGTCTCAGTGAATGAATACTCTAATGGAAAGACCCTGCGTATCATTTCAGGCAGCTCACATGAACTGTGTTTTACTTAATACTTGAACCAATCTTATCAGCAAGGAACAGTATCATAAAGGCTATGCCATACCAGGTACATCTATAAAATAGCCAGCCTGCATCTCATATTCTCAGATGATAAGCGAAAAACAATTAGTGAGCTCAACTACCAATGACCCCCAGTTACTTTTAGGGATTTATGGGATGAGGGTGTTGCTGATTAGGCCAGCATTTCTTGCTGACAGCCAACTCTTTTTTGTTTCATTTGGTTCTGGGGCATCTATAATACCTTCTGGGAGGCAGCTCCAGAATTTTGACCAAGTGACAGTGAAGGAGTCAGGAATATGTATGGTTTTGAAGGGTTTTTCAGGTGGTTATGCTCCCCTGCCTTTGTCCTCCTAGAGTCAGGAGTTTGAAAGGCACTGTAGGAGTCGTAGAGAGCTGCTGGTGCACACAGCTGCCATTGTACATTGATGAGGAGGAAGTAAATACTGAAGGTGGTGGATACAGTGTCATCAAGCAGACTGCTTTGCCCTTGAAGATCACTGAATTCCTACAGTGTGGAAGCAGGCCATTCAGCCCATTGAGTCGACACCAAACCTCTGAAGAGCATCCCACTCAGACCCACACCCCTACCCTTTCCCTGTAACCCTGTATTTCCCACAGCTAATCCACATAGCCCGTACATCCCTAGGCAGGAGGTTATTTAGCACGACCAATCCACCTAACCTGCACATCTTTGGACTGTGGAAGGAAACCCACATGACTGTCTGTATGGAGTCTGCACAGTCGTCAGAAGGTGGGAATCGAACCCAGGTCCCACTGAGGCAGCAGTGCTAACCACCAAGCCACCATGCTGCAAGTCAAGTGTTTTGGATGTTGGTAGAGCCACATCTATCTAGGTCTATAGAACTTGCTCATTCACACTCCTGTGCTGTGCCTTGTAGATGGTAAACAGTCTTTGCAGAGTTAGGAGGCACTGTATCTGACTCGCTTTTGTAGCCAAAATACTTATACATCTGCTCCAGCTCAGTATCTGGACATGGGGAGATGGCTAGATTCTCTCTTGATGGAGACGGTCATTCAATGGCACTTGTGTGGTGCAAATGCTCCTTGCCACTTTTAAAGTCCAAACCTAGATGTTGCCCGGGTCTTGTTGCTTAAGAACATAAGCTGTTTCAGCGTCAGAGGAATTCCAAATGGTACTGAAAATTGTGCATTCAGCAGTAAGCATCCCTCTCTTCGATCTTATGATGTAAGATAAGTCACCAGTGAAGCACCTGAAGATGATTGTGCCCAGTGCATAATCCTGGAGAACTTCTGCCAAGATGATTGTCCTCCAAAACCAGAACTAGTGCAACTCCAACCAATACAGGTATTTTCCACCTCTACAACCTCCAAATTTCCATTGACTCCAATTTTACTGAAGGTCTTTGATGCCAAATTCAGTCAACTATTTCCTCAATGTCAAGGGCAGTCACTCTCACCTCATCACATAATGAAAGCTCAGACTCAGTCAAGTTCAGTGCAAAGTGGGCACGACAATGGACCCCAACACTGCCAGATAAATAACAAAGGAGTTATGATATAGAGACCAGCCTCCCAATCCTTGTATTCACAACAAAGTAAAATTAAAGTACTCAATGATACTCAAAATTGCCCAATAGTTACTAATCGGACTTTTTGAATAACTAACACCAGACATCAAGTTCATAGCTTAAAACAAGATAACTAACACTTTATTAATAATACAGCAGCTTTATCAGAGCAAAATTAAACAACGTAAATTCATTAGCGTCTACAATTTAATGCCAGTCTTCTCAGATCCTAGCTCCCACTCAGACATAGACACAGTTAGGGGATGATTTAAAAAAGATCTAACTAGCCAGTTCACTTAAGTAGTTTCCATGATTTATAACATCAGAGGTATGTGGGATTGTATCTTGTTTGATTTCTGAAAACTCCGGTCAATGCAAATAGCTTCCAGAAGGCTCCAAGGAATATTCACTTCATGCTTATAACCTA